AGAATTAATTGCCTATAAAATACTAAAAAGAGAATTTATGCATATTTAACTGGATCTCTTAAATACAATCTTGTAAACATAGCAAATGTCAACAGATTAAAGTCGTGTGCTTTACGATGTGGCCATAGCTTCATGCAATAATAAAGAGATAGGAAAGAAATAAAGTGAGATTTTAGCAAATGCACAGGTGGGAACTTTGTCCCAAGTTGGAAATACTGTGGACGTGTAGTCGCACTATTATACAATATATTTAAGCGCAAAATGGGTAAATACGAATAAATGAGGAAACAGAAAAGAGGAGGACAGGAAGGCCAGTATAGACGCATCAGAAAATTGTTACATATTGGCTAAATGCCAAAAATTTTAAAACAAAGCAACTTTAAGAAAAAGGAGCAATAAGAAATATACTTATGCATAAATATATATATATAAAAAAAAAAAAAAAAAACAAATTAAACTCCCACCTGAGCATGCATTTGCTTAGTCAAAAATATTTACAAATGCACGTGAAATCGGGCAAGTGTCTGAGCATCTTCTGCGATAAAACTGTGAGATTTTCACTACTTGCAAAAAAAAAAAACAAGAAAAGAAGAAGAGCTCTTGCACATCCTTTAACTTGTTATTGTCCTTTTGTAAACACTTAAGCAATAAAGAGAAGGAAATAAAGCAAAACAATTACATTAGTTCATGTACATACATATGTGCACATAAATGAAAAGTTTATTTATATTTGTGACCTGCATCTTTTACTAAATGTTACGATCTGAAATTATTCTACAATACATGTTTGCTTTAGCCCATAAGTATGTGTTAGTAATTTGGAGTCATTTGCAAAGTGTACGGATGCATGCAATATGTACATATGTATGGATGTCTGTTTATACGTTTATATTTTACTGCATTTAACGTATTACACAAGCTTGATGTCTGACACTCTGGGGGATTAGATTAACAGGAAGCAACAACTACAACAAGAGAATAGCAAATAAAATTAAACCAAAAAACATTCAACAAAATACTAGAAAAACCAAAAAGAGGATATCCTGTGGTTAAACACTGCTGTATATTTGATACATGGCACAAGAATACGGAAAAACAAGCAATGCATGAAATGCACATGTATATATATATATATATATATACACATATATATATATATATATATATGCATATATATGTGTGTACGCCTCATACTGTATGCATGGGGGAACTCAACGTTCAGTTCAGTAAGAGTTTACAGAGGATATACATACGAAACATTCAGATTTATTTCTAAAAACAACAGAATATTTATACATAATTCCACTTAGGTATGTAAGCTTATTAAATTAAAGGACGCATCATCCAGTTTCAAGTGAATATAATACACTGCATAAACGAAAAAAATAAGCATACACAACTATGACCTTGACGTAAAATAATTAAATTCCAATCAACTAAATGCAACCCGAGAGAAATACAGATCAAAATTATATCTGCGAAATTATGCAAAATGTATTTGTTTTCCTATCTCTACGGCTGTGCGTACATTGTAAGATATATTTTGTCAACTTTTGTTTCTAACTTGGAGATACGGGCTATAAAAAGAAGAAAAATACTTTCATTAACCAGAACAGACAGACCCGTTTAGAAAGGGTTGAGTAAAGTAAGGACCTTAAAGTAGCTGTTACTTCTTCTCTGATGTAAGAAACAAATTTGACCGATGGTTAGTGCGCCCCAACTAACGAATATTAGTTTTTCTTCTCGCAGCAAAAGTTCTATGTAATTTATGCATTGTTTACTTTACTTATTTATTTATTGTCTCAAAAGCCGGCGCATAACCGAGATCATATGCTCGCCTGTATCGAAAACCCTATCACACTTAGGATTTGAATCCGCAGGTTGTTAGTGCCGACCTTGTTTGCCTCGCTACTTATGCGGATGAATTATTTATTAACTTAAATCGTTATGCCTTCCTTTTCTTATATTTATATGTGTATAGCATTTTGTTCGTACTTATCGGAAGACATCTAAAATTACATTTTATGATATTGAAATAAAGCAAATAATCGAAAAGAGTATTTTGAAAATATTTGACAAAATTCCAAGTTTTCAAGCGAAATGAATTTGCTCCTCAAAGATGAAATTTTTATTATTATAGTGCTGGACATTTTTCCCTTCAATGTAGTAAGCGACACTCAATAAATATTCTAGCATACGTTCATACACATATATGGGTACAAGTATACGTTTTCATCTATACAATAGCGTAGCCAGGTTCCTCTTTCAAGTAAATTTGATTAACGCACATTTTCTGTGAGTGACAGTTTCAGTTTTTTGCACTGTGTGACGGAGAGTTAAAAAATTCTACGCTAGAAATGTGCACCAAGTTAAGCGGAAATAAAATGCGAGGGGGAATACGGGCGAAAGGAAAGAAAAAGAATTGCTCAAAGTTTTCAATTTTAAAGTGCGCAGATTAAAATTGTTAGTAGGAGTAGGGGTAGTAGTAGTAGTAGTAGTAGTAGTAGTAGTAGTAGCAGTAGTAGTAAGAGCAGCGAGAATGAAACTTGGGTGGGCTGCTGATGGGGGTTTATTTAAGCGATGACGTTACTAAAAACATTCATTTGGCAAAGTAATGTTCAGACATATTGTTAGGCGGTAAATGCACCTTTACAGTTGCAACATACACGAGATGAGTACCGAATCGCACGTTGCGTGCACTTGAATATGACTGAAAGACTTGAATGTTGGGCACAGCGGGTAAAACTTTTGGTTTAAGAGTCTGCGAAAAAGCGTTGTTTTTATATTTGATTTACGTTTCATTTCCGGCTGTCGTATGTGTTGTCAAAGTTAGACGTACACAAACTTACTCATCTTGCCTCCTATTTAATACCTGACACAACTAACTATGACTTGTTCAGCGACTGTTTGCTACCGACTATTTTTGTTCTTTTATATTTAAGCCATTATCTATTTTCTTCAGATAATAGCGTACAAATTCATTCCGCTGACTGTCTGCGCACAGGCATATGCATTGAAATGCTTGTATAAGCTCTCACTGCTAGTACGACTACTAATGCTTTGTGTGCGCGCACCTTATGCAATTATAACTTTTGTCGTTAACATTTTTGGAACAAGTTTTAACGTAAATTTGCTTAAATGAAGTGACTTGAGAATATTTTCCAGTTAACAATTTACTGTGGACGTATGTGTGCAATCATTTACATCTACAGTCACTTACAAGCAAACATGCGGAATTGTGAACTTATTTACATACATATTTGTGTCTATGTGTGAATGAATAGTCATATAATGAAAACAAAATTACCGTTGTTGTTGTTGTGCTCTCAACTATTGCCGCGTCGCATTGTTGTTCTCGTACACTGACGGTCGAGATGGTTCGCCCACTCAGCGAGAAGATGCAAGAGGGCGGAAAAAGCTTCCATTAAATGAGTTAGTCTTCGTATGAATCTTTTTTGTTTCTGATGGATTACGTAACAACACCATGCATCATTGGGTTACGTAACTTGATAAAGTAAAATTTAAACGGGTACGGAATCATTCTATTTTTAAATACTATCTTACAGGCATTGTACGAGTGTGTAACAGGCAAGTTAAGGGCATCCTTTTCATTGTATACTCATTTCCCTCGTTTGATTTTAATTTTATGTGACAACTATTTGAGTAACAAATTTTATACAATGTAACATCGCGGTATGCTTATCATTTTTTTGCTCTTAATGTCTAAACTTGCAAATTTGTTTTAATTTGTTTATGTTTCATACGAGAAGGTTTTAAATCTGAAAAGCTTTTTAAATATTTCCGCATCATTATTGATGGTCTATAACTATGCAACAAATTAAATACTTTGTGCAAGACTCTAATGTTTTCACAACATGTTCGCATTCGCCGCGTTGTTATAGTCGCTCGATCGTAAATCGCCAATTTTACAACCTTCTCAACCGTAATGTAACTAAACGAACTGATAACATTGATGTTGAAAGAATATTTCGTTATTCTCATTCTTGATTGGCGGATTTTGATCGTCGTCGTGGACCGACCAGCAAAACATTTTCTATTCTGGCGTAATTTATATTTTAGTTTGGGGTTCGCTTTATTGGCTAACTGGATGAGTTGATTGAAGCAAACAACTTTGATGAACAACTTTGTCCAATTGTTCTTAATTGATTCTTAGGAGCTGATTGATCTTTTTCGTATGTTATGTTACTCAGCTTAAAAACCTGACAATAATATTAGAATGATGCTAGTGTTGCTTGACGATCACTTTCACACACCTAGGCTTTGTCAGTTAAACGCATCTAAACGATATCCCGCAGTCAGGAATTTATACAGAAAAACTGAGGATATATCGTTTAACGATTTATTCGATGAAATCGATTTCTTGTCAAATTTATAAAGACGGGCGATGCAAATGTCGCTTGGTACAATAAAAGTGTGGTTTACACTACGTTGCACGTTACAATTCTACGTTACGGTAAGTTAGCGACATGTAAGAGGTTTTCAATATGTTTTGCGTTAACTCACTTAAACCTGTGTTGACTGACGACGGGGAAGCTTTATAGTACGATAACTACCAGCAGTAGAAACTTATACGCTCCCATAAAAAAAAAAGAATCCGCCTACAAAATATAAGGTCCGTCGCTAAAAGGGATAGCAATCACAGCAGGACATTGACCTCAATAATACTAGCCTCTGGGAGGGTTATAATAATGTAGCGTCGTTCATTAACCAGATCTGCTGTTATTCTGGTCGACGTGCAGGCGTTGCTAAAGTTTGCTAAGTTTGAACTTTTATCATATGAGTAATTACTTCAGCAACTTGTAAATGATTTCAAGACACTTACTATGACACACCTTTCGAAGAGTTGTCTGGGCGCCATTTGCATTGAACTTGAATTTTAATCCCCATTTCAAAATCGATATTTATTTGGTATACTTTGCAAGTTGTTTTTAAAATTTTTACGAGATTTTCTATTTATAAGTTTTTCTTTTCTTCCACAGCATAAGCTATGTGGGGAAGTACTCTGTCAATCTGCCTTTTTTGTCTTGGATTAACTCAAAATCCATACCAATGCAGAAGTTGTGATCCCATCGATCGTTATCATCGATATTATATCACCGAGGAATCTTCAGTGATAAGCTGGTGAGTTTTAAAATAAGAATAAGAGAATTTATTGAAATGAATGCCAACATATGTAGGCAACAGAGGCTTCAACATTTCTTGCATTATATTGTCCCTTTTATAATAGTGGATAAGCAACTGAAATTTGCCGCAAAATATTTTCATTCACTGTCCACTGTAGATATAGTTCTGAACAGCCCCAATGAATGTAAACTTGCTTTCTTTCTTTTCCAAAAAAATCGATATATGGGTGGTGGATATTAAAAATACCGTTCAAGCTCGAGTTGGTTCGCCTATTGCTTATCGTTCTTATTTCACAATAGAAAATAATTGCTGCTCGCTCACGCCCTTAGGGATTAGCATTTATCTGTTCACTAATTAATACTTTCATTTATTTTCGTAAAACCGTAAAAAGTTGACAGCAAAAAAAATCATAACGCACTTAGGTACGCAACTGATTAAAAACATCTGTCACGCAGCGGTTTTTCCTAACAAACAGTAACAACTACAGCAACACACCATCAATAAATATTTTCAACTAATGTAAGGTACATGTGCAAGCCATAATGAGCAATATGGCAGAACAAATCTGCATAATAAAACATTTATGTTGACATGAAGTAGAAATGTGTTAAACGAATAAAGGAACAAAAACCGTATTAAATAAAATAAAAAAAAAAAATAAAAAAAAAAAAATATCAAATCGAATATTCAACAATGAGATGAGCATCAAACAACCCCTGCAACACGATAATTGCATTGTGTGCGCATTATTTGATACGAGGAATGGATTCCATGTGCTGTCGCTTTTGCTGATTTTTTGACATTTTTTTATAACTTGTTGTTATGTTTTTTTTTTTGCTCAATCTGCGACGCAAACGAAACGAAATTGGTAATAATGACAACAATAGTATAAAACATACGCGCAATTTTATTTTTCAAATCTGAATAAGTGCAGGGTTGTTCTGAGGATGGGTGCTGTCGGGGTTTTATTTCTTTATTTCAGAAAAACGACGCGAAACGTTAAATAAATGCATGTGTGCTTGTAAGCAGCGAAAAACCATTAATTGTCGCTGAATAATAGAGATAATGCCAATAAAAGCCAATTTCGATAGACTGCACTTATTTAACACACAAGGGTGCAACTGTTGCTTTGATGAGACATACATACATATATATATATATATATTAACAAATATATGCACAGGCAAGACAGGATGCATACATACGTCTATATACATATCTATAACATATCTGTGAATATTGTGCAAATACATATGACTGGATGTTAGGTTAAATGTGTAAAGAATTAATATTTATTCATACGCATGTTACGTACGTATAGGGCCCAACTAAGTGTGTCCACATATACACATGTTCCGTCCAGGCAACGTCCACATGTATTTGTAACTATTTTAATGGACTGCGTATGCATGCATGTGCACAAAACATGCCAATACCATTGGCAAGGGTATTAAAGGATTTTTGTTAGATTTAGTTATTTTTCGTCCAGAATTTTGCACTCGTGGAAAGGCAGCATGCATTTGCATGACTTTCATTATTATACGTATATGCAAATAAATCATAAATCAGCTTATTCATAACTAAAAAATGAAGGTTAATGATTAAATTTTTAATGAAACGGACGAATCCTTAATAAATCCCTTTAACACCTAAGCGGAACTTATGACACTTGTGTCTGTTATTAAGTAATCGAAGGACAATTTTTCAAAATTTTAATTCAAACTTACATTTGGTACACTTACATTCGATGCACCCGTTCGCCAGCGAATGGGCAATGCCAACCTGGCACTTTAGACTGGAGGATAATTGTTGCAGGAATTTTAGCAAAACTTGTCCATTCGTCTCTTGCAATGCACAAACGTTTATTTAATTTTTAAATTTATACACTATTTAATTTATGCCACTCTTCACAATATTTTGGGCCAATGAGCAACCAAGTTCAGTGCCATCGGGTTCAACGTTCAATTTTAGGACCTTTGTATCCCCTACTATCATTGAGAAACGTTTTGAACGTAAACCTCCCAACGCTGGCAAGTTCATAGCAAGATCCAAAACTTGAACGAAATCACCTGAAGGATCTGCCAACATGCGAATTCTTCCACCGGCGCCATGTTCCTCACCCCAAACTGACATAACAAAAGGATCGTTAACTGAAATGCAAATTATTTCATGAACATTTAGTATGCTCTTCAAATAGTTTGCTGAGACGACAAACCCGGGCAAATGGATCTAAAAATAGATTAAATTAAATTTAATTTACGCGCCGCCGTGTAGATAAGAACATATATGACCTTAGAGCAGTCGGGTGTGAAAGCTCCATGAACACCAAAAATAATAGTCTTCTTGTTCGAGGTCAGTTCTCGGATGTTAATTTCATTTTGTAGTGAATCCTCAAATAACGCCATCGAAGGAAGTCTATCACCAACCTTGTAAAACAGAATTGGCGGAATACAATAACATCTATTTGCAAATCCACTAAATAAAATATAAATAATAATAAAATAATTTCATCGTTGCCCAAAATTTTCAATTGATAAGAACGACCGAACGACCTTTGCATTTCGCAGTTGCGCCTTTCACTTTCAAATACGAAATATTCTTCCCTATTATGTGCTAGTAGTTGCACTTCCGTCCCTTCCAATCCCTTGAAAACTTTGCAATTTTTACTTAGCTCACCTTGGCCATGGCTGGACGTTGCGTGCGAAAGTCACGTCTTGTGACTCCTTTCATCAAGCAATTTTGAAACAATAATCGAATCAGAAACATTTTGACCTCAAAAAATTAATCGAAAACACATAGTTTTATGAAATAAAACCAAATGACATTAGTTTTCTGACAATTGGAAAATCGGCTTCATCTGGTCATGAATGAAGAATAAAGGCGACCATATGTTTTCGTTTTAGCTTAAATTGTCTATCGCCGACAAATGATAGACGAATACGATCAATGCGCACTTAAAAAGTTCAATAAGCAAAAAGCGTCCCTTTATAAGCGAAATTTCCATGTGCTTTGGAAGAATGCAATTTTGTTCCCCACACAACTGTATACATGAAGATCACAACGGTGCTTCATACCAACGTGGTCTCGCAGTCTACCATCAACATACTGTTGCGTGCGGGTTTACCATTTTCATGTTTAGGACTTGGGCGCATTTAACATTATTCTGTAAAGAAATGTTAAGCACAAGGGAGATTTCACTCGAATGAGACATAAACCTTATGGTAAAGCTAAAAGTTCGGCGATTGGGAAATCGACACTTGCTCCCGCCTTTGCCAGTAGAAAAATGCAAAGTATTATGTAATAGGCGTGGATTTTTTGTGATTTGACTGACTAATGTTACGAGACGCAAGAAAGGAAGACAGGCGGTTGGCTTGAGCGATTGGAAAGCGTAGTAAATAAATGAAATAAATGAATATGAATAAATGAATATGAAATGATCTGTCGCGGTTGTGGTCGGGAAATTCTTTAGTCGATTGAAACGGCTAAAGTTTTTTTTTTCCAAAGTTTTCCGATTCACTTACTAACTCAAAACGAATTGAGGATAACTGATCAGATTTGTTCTTTAGAACGATTTGACATTCCATCCTCCATGCGGATTGAACATATATTACTGCGTAATGTATTCTAATCCAAAAAATTACTCTGCTTAATTGTCGCCTCTTAGTAGATACTTAATTATGTAAATAAGTGCTGTCGCTAGGAAATTGGATCCTCTCCTTCTTTATTAACACTAAGTATATCTTAATAAGGATGTGGTTTTGTATGTTAACCGAAACGACGTACGTACAAATATACATTTGAAAACGAGAATTGCGATAATTGTCTCTAAGAAATTCAGCGGAAACAATAATAAAAGACTCGCTAATTGAGGCACATTTTACTAATTTCCTTGGGTGCTTAACCTGTTAGACTTTGAGCTCTAACAGAATTAATTTACGAACAGGCGCACACACTCTAAGCATTCGTTCTTGTGTGTTTTGTTTTTCATTTTCAAAGAGCTCAGGGAAATTGAACATTTTTCAGGCCGTAAGTAAAATAAGGACAATAACAACATGTTCCAGTAAGTTAGTTAACAAAACGAAATGACCAACAGACCGGCCACAATTTACTATTAAATACGACACGGCCGTACATACAGTAGACAAAGTTGCACACTCACTCGAATGTAATGCGGTTAAAATAGCGCAAACAATAAACGACACGAACAAAATCTGCAGTTATCATTATGATCACAACTACCGTTGGCGTAGCCTAAAACCTAAGCGCACATATACAACATATAATATAGAGCACGCAAACTGAAAGACAGATAAACGAACGAATGTACACAATATATATGTACCTATATATATATATATATATATGTGGAGTTGCGTATGTATATTTGTGTCATATAAAATAGACCAAACAAACCGTAATGGGAAAAAATTTGTTAACAAATTTTTTAGATTTTTGTTGTGTATTATTTCTCTGCATTAATTTCCCCATACACAAAACAGACAGACAGACAGACAAACATATATATATATATATATAGACATGAACGCTCATACATATGAAGAGTATTTCAATCTTCCCTCTCATTCTTCTTCTTCGTCATGTTATTTCTCTCCATAATTCTAATAACTGCGTCTATGTATGCATGTGTGAGTGTATACGGGCACACGGACTTTGTTAGTTAGCTACTGCGACTCTGACGTATTCATCATGCATGCATGCATGCAAATCTAGTAACTAATACTCAAAAGTACATATATATTTATGCATATATTTATGCATTTTTGGGGCGTACATGTGCTCCTTGTTACTTTCATACCATTTTGTTCAAAAATTTTCATGCAACTTTTAAGCTTTTAACTCAAGTAGTTTTCAACATTAAACATATGTTTTAAAAACAATTTAATTAGTTGCCAGGAAAAAAGAAAACTGTTGTTAGAAAACTATTACTATTAACTATGAGACGAATTTGTACATGTACATATGTGTATATATATATATATATATATATATATATATATATATATATATATATAGATGTGTGTGTGTATTTCTATGACTATATATAAAATACATGTGCACCATGTAATTTTTGAAATAATTTCAGGAAACCACTTACTGTTGAAAGCTAGGTCCATAGGAAACTCATTGTTACAGATATGTCCGCTTAATGTTGACCGAAAAGAAAAAAAATTATTTTTGAATCAAAATTAAAATTTACAAAAATTAAGGAAACTTTTCAAAAAGTAAGTTTTGAGTTATATAATATCATTATGCACGCACACATGAACAAGGATTCTCTAAAACTTTATAATCAATATGGTTTACGACATTGTTCCCCTAATGTTTGATATTATGGTGAAGTTGTTCAGAGATATTAGACTTGTTATATAGTATACGAGAAAATGCGTAAATGTTTAATTAAAAAATGATTACCAAAACAAAAAACATAAGTTAATGATAAAATTAAATAAATTAATAAGAACTAAAATGTATGCTTTAAGGCGAATCTATAACATATATACATACATACCATCTATGTGGGAAATAAATTTTATGAAAAAGTTTTTACTTTTTTTCGCTTTTCGCACTCCAAACCGATATCTGCTACAGCCCATAAAGAATACATAACGGGTGGAAAAATATGTTATTTTGTCAAAGGTTTACAACTTAACACTAAGCGAAAGTTTCTTTATCTGCACGGGCAGAGAGAATAGCTTTGCCAATTAGGTTCGTTTCTCTGGTAATGTCGCAGTTAACGCTCGAGAAGTTTTACTACAAAAAAAATAATTTTAAAATGAAAATCTTTTGCTTCTTTTCATTGAATATGAACAGTATAACTTTATTGTAGATCGCAATCTATAAAAAATTATTATGAACATTTATAAAGTCACGCTACAACCCTCCAAAAAAATGTCACACTTCGTCGTAAAGGCTTTTCCGCTGTATTAAAGCTGAACTGAGTAAACTGGTTAACGTCTTTAAGACCTTCTACCCGGATCATAGGAACATTCTACATTCAATGTCGATGTCTTAGTGCATCTCCTTATAAAAGTACACTCCACAGTTTATCAGAACACCATGCGTGCTCACCACAAAAAGAAGATTACTTCACAACGCAGATTAGAAGATTAGAAGATTACTGAACTGCACCTTACGGCTCACATAGTTGTTAACAGGTAAACGTAAGAATAGTTTCGATCAGTTCAACGCTTGCAAGCTCGCAATTTTTGTTGTTTGTTTTTCTTCTAACGTTTTAAGACCTCATCAGAGGTTTATGTTGGCATTTCTGAGTAGCCGAAGGCGAGGAATCTCGACTAGCAAGTCAATGGTCGTAGGTTCGAATCTCCTCAAGTGCGGTAGAGTTTTTAATAAAAGCCAATAGCCTTAGATGCTAGTGCTTTTAAGAGTTTAGTCTTAGAATTTATTTGCCTGGCGAAATTCATAATAATAATAATAATAATAATAATATGTTGGCATTTATTATTGAAAACGTTATTATGATACCTGCAAAGGGTTGAAAAGGTTAGTTTTTGTGGCCTTTTGTCGTTCAGATGTCGGAAGGACATTCGTGCACGAGAATATCTATAAGTAAATTTCATGGAAAATGTGGAGAGATGTGTGAAAAAGCGTGTGAAGCCTCGCTTCCACAATCAAATTAATTGATGTTTTCGTTTTTAATTTAAATTCAAACCCTTTTTGGGATTTATTTTTCATTTTAAAGTAATGTTAATAGGGAATTGAGTATTATTCTTGTGCGTGTGTATAGAGTTTATCAGCATGAGCCCTTTTCGGCTGCTATTAAGATTTTCTACATTCGTTGTACTCAGCGAGTCTCTAGACAATAATAATGTTACAGTAATAACACAGCGACAAACGAATACCAAAATAAGACAGATGTTTAATAATATTTCAAAAAAAAAAAAAAAAAAGAACCGCATGTAGGCACATACACAAACCTAACTCCTGTCGCAGGCGCCGCAATATGTGAACGCAAATTAGCCGTCTTGCCTGCAAATTAGCAACAAAATATTGAAGCTAAGCGGGAAATCATCACAGGAACGCACATAACTGAATATTAAAGCAATAAGTATGCATACATATATATATCCATACATACGTACATATGTGTTTGTTGAGAAATGGCATGCTGCGTTCGAAAATAAAATGTAAAAAATTGAAGGAAACATTAGCACTAATCTACGGGAGGCGTTAAACGACGCATTAAGGCTTATAAATATACGCACAACCGTGGACGCCCAGTTTTATATCGTCCTAAATTTTCTCTATAACATATGTATATGTTAGTGTAACAAACAAAGAGGCTTCACGATGAAAAAAATTAGAAACGCAACAACAGTTGTTCGTATGCGTTTCGTTTTGATTGCAAGGCAATGTCAATGATGTTTGACAGTGATTTATTGCTTAAAGCATACGCCAGAAAGTAGACTGCAATAAATCACTCGTTTTTCGACTATTGCTGTAGCATAACATAACATAACTGCCACATCAAAAGTATTATATTCTTGTATGCCCTTCTTTGTCCAATATATTTTGTCTTCTCATCCAAGCTATTTTGCTTCTTTGTCTAAACTAGCGGCAAGTAAAATCTTTACATTATTTGCGAGCAGAAAAACAAGTGAAACCACGTTTTGAAATTCTCAACACGCAATAACTAATAAATATTT